TGTTTTTTTTTTTCAAAGGATCCCCATAAAGCCCAGTAAATTCTCTGTTGGCTTTCAAACCTGACTTTTAGAATACCTGAGCTCTTATCCCCAGACCTGTTATCCTCAGGCCAGTAGCATTATGTGTTCTCTTTTCCAGTGGCAATGCTGTTTCTTGACTGCCTGCGTTGTTAACTTAGTTGATTCTGACAGTCATAGAACTATAAATTTAGAACTAGGAGAGGATTTATATATTATCTCATCCACTCCCTTCATGTCACAAGTGAAGAAATGGAAACAGAGAGGTCAAGTGACCAGAGTCACACTAGTAAATGGCAGAGACAGAATTTAAAAACAAATCCTCTGAATCCAGGTGAGGAAACTAAGGTTTAAAGATATTAAATGTCGTTATTGAGAAAAGAAGTAGTGCCACAATGAGAATCCATGATTCCTGGTCAAATAGTATTCCATCTATATATACAAGGAGATATACAAGGCCATATCTCTATAATAAATTGTCAAACGGACCAGATGAGCCTTAAGGAACAAACATAATAGTATGAAGCATTATATCATTTGATCTTGGATCATTAACTTACCTTTTTTAGATTAATGTTTTCACCAGGAAGCATAATGACCATGCTCAGCTCCTCACCCACATAGGGGAGCCTCAGAATATTTTTGGACACTTCCTTTCTGTAGATAATTTTAAATGTTTCTTCCTTAAACATCATCTGCACTGGCCTTTTCTCATTCTGGTGGGGAAAAGGTGAACATGACATTAACATCAGATTATTCAAGGTGCTAATAAAACTTACTGAAAAGATGCACTCGACTTAAGGAACTCTTTATAATGCATACAAAGAAATTATTATTTCTGTGGCTTTGTCAGTGAATGCAAAATGTCATCAACTAAAAGAGTCTTCAGTTAAAAAAGAAAAAAAAATAGACCACCTCAACTTCCAAGCTATTGCAACAAGGTAGAGATTTCTTTATTCAGTAAAATTACATGGAACCCTCTTTGCTTTATATAACAGGAAGTCAGGGTTTTTCCCATCTGACAAAATAAAAGAGGTACAACATTATCCCCCATTTGCCATAACACCTGCTTGAGTAAATATGAAACACTTAAAAAGAAATCCTAGCACTGTATCTCCATTTTCCTTATCATGCTATTAAGCTACATTTGCTACAGGGTGGAACCATGTAAAGCATTTAGAAAATAACCCATTCCTATTTCCAACATGACCACTTATGTAAGACTACAGTTAAGCGTATTGGTGAGGGAGCAGGGTCTGGATGGAGAGGAGAACAGAACCACTGAAGAGGTGAGAGATTTCTGAGCCTATACAAGTAGGCTCAGCAGGCTTCTCTGGGTTGGCAATATCTGGCTCATCACAGCCTTTGTTTCTTCCATGATACTTCTGCTTCAGTGGTCTGCCAGTGGTGATTGATATGCTGTGGAGGAAGCAGGAGAGCATTGGGACTAGACCAATACAGGTAAATGGAGACCTCAGGCTCTCAGGGTATGGCCATATTGAACCTAACAGGGCCTTTATTATTGGTTCCTAGGTCCAATGGGGCAGGCCCCACATGTATACTTCAGTTTGAGATCAGGGAAATGGCCTCTCACAGAGCAGGCTCAGAGGAATGAGTGTACAACACACACCACTCTGCCCAAATCCCTCCTGCGGCAAAATGATGTCAGGAAGTAGGATAGGGCCTAATTTTCTTTGCCTTCCCATTGATAAGACATTCAGTACAAGAAGCCATAATAGATGAAGAGTTCTGGTGGTACAGGAGCCATTTACATAGAATCTGAAGATCTGAAAGAAGTATAGAAAATTATGGTAATGACCCCTAGCAGAATGCATATCTTCAGAAGAAATGTGGGAAGCAAAACCTGCAAGAAAAAAGGAATAGAGACAGAAAGGAAAGCAATGAGATGAGATTTTCCAGTCCCACTTATACAGAATAAATGACCAATATGAAGGCAGTGAGTAGAGTGTTCCCAGCCCAGCTTAACAAGTAGAGATTTTTTTTTTTTGCAGGAAATTGTTCAAGCAACAATTCTGAAGGACAGAGATGCAAATATCCTTACATGGGTGAACCAGTTCTTACTCAGTATATGTAGAGATAGGGCCATAATGGCCCCCCTTAAAGCAAAGGGAGGGAGAAAGAATGACAGATCCTAGAAGGAAGGATATTATTATCATGGTAAGAGAATCAGGAAGGTTGAAGCCTGGGTGTGGCAAGGGACCAACTGTGGGTGTATTCAGGCATATTGCCAGAAGCTCTACCAACCCTTAGTCCAACCTCAGAATTGATAGACAGCAGACACAGCAAAGCAGAAGTAAAACTGTTGAGCTGGTGGATGTAGGCTACACCATTCCATGGCCACTGAATTATTGACTCTCTTGGAAGGAGGTAGAGTGAGTAAGCCGTAAGCACCTCTTATGATAACATTCATTCTTCTCATTACTTGTTAACCAGTTGATTTCCACCCTCAATTGCACCCCGCTTTCCTTTTTTTTCTTTGTTTGTTTTTGCTACACACCCTGCTTTTCCCAAGGCTTTATAAGTATTGAAAGTTTCACACGTTAAGTCATTTTGGGCAGTAAAAGAACAAATAATCCCTTTTTGTTAATCTACCTGCCAGCAGTGATTGATAAAATTGATTATAATTTACCCAGAAACTCTTCTCTTGAAAATTTTTACTTACAGCAAGTAGGAGAGTCACTTGGTTGGATCTACTTTTAAGGAAAATTATTTTGGCAACAATATGTAGGATGTACTGGAGTGGGGAGATACTTGATGCTGAGAAGAGGCTATTATAATAATCTACAGTACAATAATACAAGAGGTGATGAGGGCATGGACTAAGCAGTAACTGAGAATAGAAGAAGGAGCCAAATATGAGACGTTGTTAAGGTAGAAAAAGCAAGATTTTGCAACTGAATGGACATGTGGGGTGAGGGAGCATGAAGATAATGCCAAGTTTATGAGCCTAGGAGACTGGAAGAGTAGTGGTGCCTTTGACAGAAATAAGGAGGCTGAGAAGCGGGAGAGGGGATTTGTTATGAACACAAAGGACTGATTTAAGAGGACTGAGGCAGAGTTAGAGATGGAAAGGTAGGAATTGTAGAGTTCAGCATCATAGGAGCAGCATCTTTGAGTGATGGTGGAATCTCCAATGTAGTCACCCCTGAGGGTAGCTGAAGTGAAGTTACGATGCTGGTCATAGGCGATAAAGAAGTCAATGAAGTGAGATAACAGGGACCTCAGTACAAAGGGACATCAGCACAGGTGTTTAATTTTCCAACTACAGTGCAGAGATGGGGATGTGGAGGAATATTCTTTTAGGCATTGGAAGTCCTTGAGAAAGAAGGATCTATGACATGGAGGCTGGTATATAACAGAAATAAGGACTTCAATTGGTGGAGGGAAAGAAGGTAGATGCATAGTGTGAACCTCAGAGGAGGAGAGGTTTCATAGAGAATAGGGAGACACTGCAAATTATAGCAAAAGAAAGAATCTCTGGAAGGGGCAAGGAGGATTTCTCTTGGTCCAGTGTGTTGTTCCATACCAAGAGAAGATCAATATGTACTGGAGATAGTAACCCATGATACACTAACAGGTTTCCACAAATATCAAAAGCCAGAGTAACAAATAAAGAGGTTCAGTTTAGAGAGGAGCTCATTAACACAGCCGGGAGTATGGCCACTTTTCAGAGGAACACAATGGAAGGGGAATGCAGAGAACTATGTACCTATGGAGAGGATAGTGATGATAGGCCTGGAAAAAAAAAAGAGTATACTGAGAGGTATCAGGGGAGAGATTTCCATTCAACACTTATTTCCCTCTGGCCTTAGAAGACCCTAAAACCTTGTTTAGAATTGCTTCCTAGAATGTAGGATGTTTGTATGCTCGGGTTGATCTGCAGATTATTTAAAGTTTCCTATGTTTTGAAGATAGGTGATACAATGGATAAAAAGTTAGACCTGATGTCAGGAAGAACTAAGTTCAAATCCAGCCTCAGACACTTACTAGCAGTGTATGACCCTGGGCAAGTCACTCAACCCCATTCTGCTTCAGTTTCCTTGTAAAGTAGAGGTAATAATAGCAAATGCTTCTCAGAGTTGCTGTAAGGATAAAATGAGGTATCTGTATGCAAACCTAAAAGCTCTAGGGAAATTCCAACTAGTAGCTGTTACATGTTATATGTCATGAGCGGATTACTACATGGGCCATAACAACAACTACAGACTGATCCAAAGGACAAAAGACTCATTTCTCCTTCCACATGACTTCCTATGTGAGCTTCAACTCAACTGAAACTTTCAGCATTTGGGACCTTTTTTTTTTTTTTTTTGCTAGGCTCCAAAAAGGTTTTGTTCCCAGAGACCTCCCTCATAAATTTATGAAAACTGTTCCCCAGACTCCAACCATTCCATTTTAATTTCCTTTTCTTTTTTTTTTTTAGGCAATTGGGGTTAAGTGACTTGCCCAGGGTCACACAGCTAGTAAATGTAAAGTGTTTGGTCTGAGGCAGGATTTGAACTCATGTCCTCCTGACTTTGGGGCCAGTGGTCTATCCACTGTGCCTCCTAGCTGCCCCCCATTTTAATTTCCATCTCTTCCTGTAAAGGAAAAAAATAGTAACATCTAGTTTTCCTTGTGTTCCCAGAAGCTGAGGAAAGGTGTCACAGGGAAGATGAAGGGGAATATTGGTGTCAGGAGCTAAGCACTAAGGTTGGTGACAAATGAACTGATAGATAATACCTTTTGGAATTGGGGTGTGGACTGAGGAGTGAGGCATCATTATGGGGACAGGCAGAGGGCTCCATTAGTAGCCAATGTTTCATTAACAAAAACTGACCATGAAATGCACTAGGGAGCATTGGCTTCTAGCCCTACCTTTACTTTTCATGCCTCAAATGAAGGTACTAGGCACACACTTTGAATATTACAGCTTTCAAAGGACAAAGATGCACAGAAGCATACACAGGCAATCCCAGGTAGACAATTTCTGAATCAAGAATTTTATTTTTGGATTATTATCATCATGTTGATAAGGACCCTTTGGATTATACATACATAAGAGTCTGGGTAAAACAGGTATAAATAGCAAGACAGTAACGACTCCATCAGGGGTCTTTATGGAGAGATTACTTTGCCCAAAAACAAAATGTTTTTTGAGCTGTTATCTCGGATAAGAAAAAGGAAAGGATGGTCAACTATGAATCGTGGAGTAATTCTTGCACATCGCTTCATCATGACAGCTGCAGTGGCACAAGCTGCTTCTGTGCCTTCTTCATTAACTTCCACAAAAGCTTTGTGTACAACCTTGGATAGATACAGGTCATGCCTGGCTGACATCCCAGAAAAGTCAGCCTTGGATCCATCAAAGGCATCTGACATCCCCAATTTTCGAAGAATGAATTCCATATCTAAATTCTCCTCCAATTTAAATCTGGGAAGGATAACTTCCACCTCAGTTTCATCCATCATTTCTGGATTTAACCAATCTGCTAATTTCTCAGAAGTAAGTCCTTTTCCCAACTAGAAATAAAAAGAGTTGTATCATGTAAGTCCCAAAGGATTTGATTTAATTAGACAAATATTCCTATACTATGTACTTTATGCAAAGTTACTGTGCTGGGTGTGGTGGATCCAAAGGAGAAAAAAGGGGGGGCATTTATGCCCCTAAAGAGCTTCTGTTCTACTTGAAAAGTTAGAAAAGTGATAAATACACAACCAAGCCAAACACATACAATCATTCTCTCTGTCTCTGTCTCACGCACACAAACACGCACGCGCGTATGCACACAAACACACACACACACACACACACACACACACACACCACACCCATTCAACTACAGATTGATACCTCTCTTTTCTGTACTTTCCTTCAGAGGACCTTAGATTTAGAGCTTGAAAGGTACCTTAGAGACCATCTGTATAACCCTCCATTTTACAGATGAGAAAATGCTTCAGTCCCACGGGTGGTAAGAAGCTGAGCCAGAATTCCAACCAAGGTCTTGGACCCTAACTCCAAATACAACCTTCCTTTCCCCTGCCTTCCCCACCCCACAAACTTCTCACTTAAAAGAATCCATACCATCCTAGTTTAGCTCAGAAAACAGCTTTCATTCTCTTACTGCCCCCTTTCATTACTACCTTCTAATCTTAAACTTCTCTAGCACTTTGTTACCCTCCAAAGCACTTTCACATATTATCTCATTCCCTCTTCACCCCTCACAATAGCCCTTTAAATTATTTCAGACACAGATTATCCCTATTTTACAGAGGGGGAAACTGGCTCAAAGAAGTTCCATGATTTCCTGGGTAGGCAAAATACTGACTTTTCAATTGGCAAGGCTGCACTCAGCATGACTTAATGCTGCACTTTTCCTTGTATTATGTATTTACTGGAGTGGCTCATAGTCAAGACAAGAGCTCATCTTAACCAGATTGGGAATCAGTCATTGGACTCTCTGGGATTCTAACATGGGAGTTCTCCTTTAATGAAGCAATCAAAGGCAACCTGTTCTGTGCTTGCTGCTGACCTATTTATTTACCCAGACTTCCTTCCTCAACCATGTCTCTAGGTCACAGTGATTCCCAATCACATTTCCAGCTTTGCTTATGTGGTTCCCATTCTGCTCTGTCTGCCCACATCAGCAGGATGTGGAAACCAACTCCCCTTCCCTTCTAGGAAATCAAGACCCTGAAATGTTCACAGAAGCTCTCTGGTTATCTCTAACTGTCAGTCACTATTCCTAGTGAATTGATCCCTTAAATACCAAGGGCTCCTCCCCTTTCCCACTGCCACTACCATACTCTATATCTTTGTGATCTAACACCTACAAAGATATCAGTGTAACCTCTAGTCACTGACATCTAGGACAAGATGATTCATTTTAAAGGACTTGATTATTATACTGCTATTGCTGCTATCTGTCCTCTGTTCTTGAAGAGAACCATGATATCAGGGAAGTGATGCCATGACATGCAAGTGAACTAGATTTAAGTGAGGGAGGGCTATGCAAAGTCACCAGCCTCACTTTCTCCTCCAGAGCCATCTGGGTCCAGTGGCCAGATATGGATCAGGACAACTGGAGATGGCCCAGGATGCAGTTGTTGTTATAGCCAAAATCCGATGTTGTGCCTACAGCTCTGAATCAATTTTTTAAAAAAATTTTCTGGAAGTAGGTATCAACAATAATACTTTTCTCACTGTTTTTAGATCCATGTTCTCATCTGGAAGCAAAATTATCATGTCCATTTGTCCTCCAACATAAGGCAGAACCAGGATCTTGGTAAACACTTCTCCTATGTAGGTCATGCTAAATGTAGATTTCTGAAACATCATCTGTACTGGTTTCTGCTTCTCCTAAAAGAAGATAAATAAACATGAAACTGAATCCAGGGAAACAAAAGGGGGCAGATAAAATCACTACAATTTACTAAAAAAAGAATGTATTTGTATGCCCATATTTCACATCTTTAGACTGTAAACCCTCTGAGGGTAAAAATCAAGTGTTTACAGAGTGATACCTTAATCCCCTGGGGTTTGTTTCTTCATTAGCAAATATACTACATTTATCTATAGAAAAAATACACCTTTTATCCCTTGATGTGAAATAGAGCTGCTATTGGCAGGTATATATGAATAAAAATATCTCTAATATCAAAGCAGTATTTCCAAGGGTCCCTCAGTTTCCTTTTTCTTTCTTTGGGACTTCTGTTAATTAAGGTAGTTAGGGCTCTCCTGTTTTCTTCATCCCCTTCTGACCATAAGAACAAGGAAGGTTTGGGGAAGATGGTAGAGTAGGTCAGAAAATTTCAAGCTCTCAAGATTTTCTTCACAAAAGAGATAAAACAGCACCTCTGGGCAAACACAGAGCAATGAAAACAGATAAGAGTAGAGGCAGAACATGGATCCTCCTGGCACAAGCAGAGAAGATCTGAAGAAAAATCCCAGGATGAGATTTCTTTCCTCCCAGTGAAGAGTAAACACCTCCAGGCTAGGGACCAAGGTAAGCCCTGGGGTTAGATGGTTTGGGGTGCTGCCTCAGCCCCAACCACGGGAATCTTTACAAACCCTGGGACAGTGAGGAGCACTGGGAGTCTGACCTAGGGAAGAACTAGGGAACCTCTGCTGGCAAGGAACGCCACACCCAGAGTTCCTCACCCAGGGGTGAGAAGGAACTAGCACGTGCCTGGTAAGTGAAGAAGCAGTTGGAGGGGAGGGGGAGTCTCCAGCCATAGGAACTTACAGGAGGCTGGAGGTCTTGGTTTGAGTTCAAGGTCACAGCGGAGAACTGAAGAGCATTAGAGGCTACAGCCACCATCCCCCATCCCCCAGGACTAGAGGTGACCATAAAAACTAAACTATTACAAAAAAAAATGCACAGGCAAAGGAGAAAGAATCCAACCATAGAGAGCTATTATGGGAATAGAGAAGACCAGGGTTCATCTTTGGAGGAGGATACTGAAGGAAAGAAACCCTCTTCTACCACAAAGAGTAATGTCAAGTGGTCACCTCTGCCCAAAAAGAAATAATTGAAGAACTAAAAAAAAGGCTTTAAAAATCAGATGAGAAAGATTGAGGAAAAACTAAAAAGAAAAAGAAGAAGAATCCAACAAAAACAAGATTATGAAAAGAAAGTCAACCAATTAGAAAAGGAGATCCAGAATCTTCAGGAAGAAAATGACTCCTTGAAAATCAGAATCGGGCAAGGGGAAGCCAGTGAACTTATAAGAGACGAAGAAATTCTAAAAAATATGTGTAAAGAACGAAAAAATAGAAGACAATGTGAAACAAGAAAAACAACCGATCTGGAGAACAGATCAAGAAGAGAAAACATAAGAATAATTGGACTACCTGAAAGCTATGAAAAAAAAAAAAGAAGCTTGATATAATAATACAAGAAATAATTAAAGAAAATTGTCCTGAAGCATTAGAACAGGAGGAGAAAGTAGAAATAGGACAAAAAAATCCACCTGAAAGAGATCCTGTGAGGAAAACTTGCAGTCATATTCTGAAACACTTAGTTCAAGGAAAATATGGCGTCAACAAGAAAAAAACAATTTACATATGGTGGTACCACAATTAGAATCACACAAGACCTAGTAGTGGGGACACTAAAAGACTGCAGCTCTTAGGACACTATATATCAAAGAGCAAAAGAACTAGGCTTCTGGCCAAAAATATCATACCTAGCAAAGCTAAGCATAATTCTGAATGAAAAAAAAAGAATGGACATTTAATGAATTGTCAGACTTTCAGGACTTTGTTAATTCTACTCTTTTTTTTTTTTTTAGGCAATGGGGTTAAGTGACTTGCCCAGGGTCACACAGCTAGTAAGTGTCAAGTGTCTGAGGCAAGATTTGAACTTAGGTCCTCCTGACTCCAAGACTGGAGCTCTATCTACTTTGCCACCTAGCCACCCCCTTGACTTTCATAAAATGGCAAGTTATCACTATATATTCTCAATCCTATGTTCTGCTGTACACATGACATGTTTTTTTCTTTTCTCATTTTATATTTAAGTTTGTAATATGTTTAATTTTCTTTTCTTATTATGTTTCTTTTCTTATTAAGTTTTAGTATTTGTCTAAAATTAAAAAAAAAATTAAACGCTAACCACCAAAAAAAAAAAAAAGAACAAGGCAGGTTCAAAATTCAGCTAATTCCACAACCAAATATTTAGTTGGTTAACTAAACATTAAACTAAACATTCAGTATGAATGAGTTTTATTCAAATTGCATTTACAGATTAAGTTTGATCTGACAATACAATGAAAAACTTTAAACTTACCCCCAGTTAAAGGAATTTCAGGTGTCACCAAGCCCTGTGAGCCATGATTTAAAAAAAAATCTTCCAGAACTATTTATCCCACTCAAAATACATTATTTCTACTCACAAGATTTACTTAGCCAGGTGTTAAGTATATATAACATTAAGGTGATAACTATTATGGGAAGTGGAGAGAAGAGACTAGTCCTTACCTTTCCCTATCCCCAAATTCCCATATGTATACTGTATATTTTCTGGAACATTTTACATTAATATAATTAGGGTGGGCTTGGTTTGGGTTTTTTTTTTGGGGGGGGACAGTAGAATTTTTTTAAATAGTATTTTTTTTCCAATTACCTGTAAAGACAGTTTCTAACATTCTTTTAAAATAAAATTTTTCTTTCTCCTTAAGACAGTAAGCAATTTGATATAGGTTCTGTGGAAATACCCCTGAGATTAATATATCTGTCTGCTATTGAGTTAATCTGTGTCCAGTGCACCTGCCTGGTAAGACAATACTTTGGCTCACTGCAGGCTGCTGTTTGGCTCCTTTTGGCAAAAGGGCTTACTCTGTGTCCAATGCATCTGCCTGCTAAGGTAACTCACAGAAAACAGACATATGAATCTCAGGGGCACTGATGATATTCTGTATCATATCTTATCTTCAACTGACGTCCTAAAACTCACCAGCTCACATATTACTTTTTACCATTAACAATGAAGTTCCTGACATAAGAGAACATTGATAAAGCAGATTTTCTTTGTTCCCAGAACTTTGTTTATTCCCTACAACATGAAGTATTTAACAGGTGCTTGATAGTTAACAGAAGCATTCAGATCAATAATGCCTTCTCTATGTTTCTGTGTGTGTATGTGTATACATATAGGTATACAAGAATATATACCTATATACACACACGAACATATACATATACATCAACATCCTACAAAATCTACCCTTTGTGATATCTTTTACTGCCTGATGATATTAACTCACATGAATCTCCTCACATGAATCTATTCATGGTCTGTCCTGTAAAATGGGAAGGTTAAATGCCTTTCTAGTCTCTGGGTCGAATAGTGTAAATTCTTTATTATATCAGAACATACATAGAAAAGATTGAGGGACAGCCCTAGTAGCGGATAAAGAGGATAGAGAGAGGAAGAATAGTTAAGTAAAAAAAAGGAAAAGAGTTAAGTTCAGGGTCTGATAGCAAGGAAAGCACACTTCTTAGGCCACTGATACACTATGTTAAGCTTAGACCAAAAGATTAAAGAGGAATATGTCCCTTTTAAAGGAAGCTAGCAAAAGGCTCCTGAAGAAGGAATAACCTGGACAATGGAAGATCAGACAGAAATGTCCTGAGGAAAATAACTCTTTCCAAAGAGGGTCTCTTTGTACTTCTCTTGGGTTTGCTTTGCTTATAAATAATTTCCCACATATGTCCTCAGTGCCCAGGGCAAAAGTTATTACCAAACTGGAAAACACAAGTCTAAGATCATGCTCTCTTCTTCCATGATTTACCATGGCACAGTTTACAAGAAAACAAACATAACAGAAAAGGCGAGGAAGCTGTCTTCCAGAGGCTATTGTAATAAGAGAGTTTCTAAGGTCTTGAGGTCAGGAAATTGGCTAACAGGTGAAATGAAGCAAAACAGATCTGTAGGACTAAATTCTTTATGATATCAGAATATATAGAGAAAAGATGGAGGTAGAGCCCTCCTAGAGGAGAAGGACAAGGATGGAGGGAGGAAGAACATTAAGTAAAGAAAAGTAAGTTTAGTTGTGTGTTATTAGCCCTTTATCTGTATCTTAAGGAACAGAGAATATGCCGATTCTTTCCCACTGTCCCACTTGCCCATGAGGTCCCAGGACATTGCAAAATTGCCACTTGCCTTGGTGATTTTGAACATCTTTTCTGTTGTCTTGCTTTTGTCAAATTGTTTTTCCCATTTTCCTTTGAAATAGATGGCATTCACAAGTACCAGAGAGGTCAGTGAATTAATGGAATCACTAGCTAGCAGTTCTGCAATCTTACCTGAAAAAAGAAAAAAAATCAGAGATTAAATCTACGCTAGATGTTGACATAATCACATCCAAAACAAATGAGGTAACATATATAAAGCATTTTACAAACCCTAAATAGTTTTAGTTAGCCTCCTCCTTATCATCATCAATATCATAACAGTGATTATAAGATCAGTCAGGAAATAAGCAGGGTTTCAGTCTTTACAAATTAGTCAAATATCACTCACCTTCACATAGCACTATCCAACACTCATATAATCTGTCCATTAAATGTTAACCAGGAAAAAAATATGTATACTAAAGTTTTTTTCTATGTTTTGGTGTAGCAGCAAAATGCCTCTGAATACCACGGTCAGTGTGCAAGAAAGAACCATTTCTAACTACACAGGATCCCTCCTTTTACTGAGTATCTTAAAGAAAAATTCTCTTTACAGCTCCAAAATGTGTTAACATCTAGGATCTCATGTAGTCTCACAAAAACCCTATGAAGTTTTTTATATGTTATAACCCCCCTTGAATAAATAGAGAAACTGAGGCTTAGAAATTGAGGAGACTTGTTCAAGGTCAGAGCTAGTACATGGCAGACCTTGGATTTGGGTTTTTTGACTCCAAGATTTTTCATTTTTTGTTATTGTAGCTTTTTTCCTTTATATATTTTGATTTCACCAAATACTTCACAATTATATGTAAATACAATTCTACATTCATTCTAAAAAATTTTGAGTTCCAAATTCTCTGCCTCCCTCCTTTTCCACTTGTCCTCTCCTTGAAGAAATAAGCAATTTGATGTTATTATACATGTGAAGTCATGCAAAACATATTTCCGTATTAGCCATGTTACAAAAGAAAATACAGACAAAAAATAAGGAAAATAAGTCAAATTTTTAAAAGGATGCACCAATCTAAATTCAAAATACCTAAGTTCTCCTTCTGGAGGTGGATAGTATTTTTCATCATGGGTCTTTTAGAATTGGATTGATCAGAGTACCTAAGTTGATCAACATTACTGTGTTTCTGTTAAAGTGTACAATGTTCTCCTGGTTCTGATCACTTCGCTTTGTAAGAGTTCAGATAAGTTTTTCCAGGTTTTTCTAAACTCATTCTACTAATTAATTATAGCACAAAAGTATTCCATCACAATCATATACCACAAGCCATTGTTCAGCCATTCTCCACCTGAGGGGCAATCCCTCAATTTCCAATTTTTTGCTACCACAAAAAGAACTGCTATAAACATTTTTGTACATATAGGTCATTTACCCCTTTCTTTGATCTCTTTGATATCCAGACCTACTAGTGGTATTGCTGGGTCAAAGGGTATATATGCACAGTTTTATAGCATATTTCCAAAGTATTCTCTAGAATGGTTGGATCAATTCAAAATTCTAACACTTAGTATCCCTATTTTTCCACATTTCCTCCAGCATTTGTTATTCTCCTTTTCTATCATGTTAGTCAATTTTATATATGTAAGATGGAATCTCAGAGTTTTGATTTGCATTTCTCTAATCAGTAGTGATTTAGAGCGTTTTTGATTTCTTCTTCTGAAAACTGCTTGTTCATGTCCTTTGAACATTTATCAACTGGCTGTAATTTTTATAAATTTGCCTCTATCTTTTATACATTTGAGAAACAAGACCTTTGTCACACAAACTTGCTATAAAAAAATTTCCCCAGTTTTCTCCTTTCCTTCTAATTTTAGCTAAATTAGTTTTTTTTTTGGTTCATGTGTGTGTGTGTGTGTGTGTGTGTGTGTGTGTGTGTAAAAGTCTTTTTAATTTCATGGAATAAAAATCATCCATTTTTTCTTGTCATAATCCTATCTCTTATTTGGTCATAAATTTATGCATATATCTGACAGGTACATTTTTCCATGCTCCTCTAATTTGCTTATGGTATCCACCTTGAGGTCTAAATCATTTATTCATTTTGACCATATCTTGATATATGCTATGAGACGTTGGGATATGCCTTGTTTCTTCCAAATTGCTTTCCAGTTTTCCTAGCAGTTTCTGTCCAGTGATTAGTTCTTTTCCCAAAAGCTTGGATCTTTGGGTTTATTGAACAAGATTACTATGGTCATTTACTATCTATTGTGTATCTACTCTATTACAATGATCCATCACTCTTTTTCTTACCCAGTACCAGATTGTTTTCATGACCACAACTTTATAATATAGTTTGAAATCAGGTACTGCTAGGCCTCCTTCCTTCACATAAATAAAATGAAATAGTAGCCTATTTACAGAACATTTTACTTGTAATTTAGAGGAAGGCAAAAATAAGTCAAGTTAAATACAGTCAACAGAATAAAATATGTACAGCATGAATAATAGATGCATGTAAATACAGATATTTAAAAGACACAGAAGGACAGGAGAATATGGTTCTACATGGCCTTGAATGAGCATATGGTACCATTGTTGGGGTGGAAGGGAAACTGTAGGCAGCATCATTAAATGAGAAGCCTCAGACTCCTAGGATAGCAATGTTTAGAGCCATCCAACCAAAGCAGGAATAGATCGTGGTTGGAAATGATTCATTCTATAGACTGATTACTACATTCAGAAGCATTATTGATATTGCGGACATTGAAAATCAGGAGAAAGACAAAATTGGATAACATTTAGTGGAGAGATTTTTGCATCCTCTTTTGCTGCTTAGAAAATCAGTCCCTTTTTATACTTTGCAAAAGAGTTCTCAAAATCATTAGCCACCATCTCTCAAATAGCTAAAAAGAAACTCCATGATTTCTTACCTTCTGTCTTTTCTTCTACCCACTTATTTATATGCATTCTTGCTTCCCCTGGAGCATTTGCAAAGTCAAGTTCTTCCATACTGGAATGGTAGAATCTCTGACAGGATTCCTTAAAAGACTGAACAATACAATAAACACTATAACCAAGCATCACAAGTCTAAAACTAAATGTTACCAATGCACAGCCAGGAAATTTTGGACCCCTTGTTCATAAGAGTCATAAACATGTTACAGATCAACACATGTTGACCCCAAATCTTTGTGTTTGACTTGGATGAACTTTAAGTCTTTAACCTAAGGAAGCTAATGACTTAAAAATTAGACATCAGAACTTCTTATATCCCTTTAAATTTTGTTGCCATGAAAAGATCACTTAAAAAGCAATGATTGTGGTCAACAAACCCAAAGGAAAACTAATATGCCAATTTCCTCTAATAAATCAATAAACTGCTATTTGAGAGTCAACAGTCAATCAGATAATTAATCCCAGCACTCATTTTCTATAGGATCACAGGATCACAGATTTAGAACTAGAAGACTTTAGTAGGTGTCTAGTCTAACCCTTCCATTTTTATGGAGGAGAAAACTAAGGCCCAGTGAGATGTTTGTCCAGACGGCAATAGCAGAGGTGAGATTTGAACTCTCGTAGTGCTACGCCCACTGAACCATGTGGTTAATCCTTAAAAATTATGGAAAATAATATTGTGTTGTGGGGGGCGGGGTGACCAACTTTTTCAAATAGTTCAAACTGAATTTTTATTAACATGCCAACAGATGAGATACAACTGTCACATGAGGCCTTCATCTCTCTTAAACTTGAAGATTTCATTGATTTTCTTAATTTAATACAGGGAGAAATAATAGACAAGACTTACTGGGATAAAATCACAAGTCTTTTCTCCAAAGAGCCGGTTGGCAATTCTTAGCAGGCATTGGCTACCAGATTTATTAGCTTCTGCAAGAAAAGACTGGAAACTTTGGTGGACATCTATACCTTTGTTTAAAGAAAGAACCTGTTTAGAAAAAAACAGCTTCAGTACTGTGTTGCTTTCTTTAAAAATAAAAACATACTTAAATAACCCCATCTCAGAAAAAGAAATTGAACAAGCCATCAATGAACACCCTAGGAAAATATCTTCAGGGCCAGATGGATTTACAAGCAAATTCCATCAAACATCTAAAGAACAATTGATTCCAATACTATATAGACTATTTGGGAAAATAGGACAAGGAGTCCTACCAATCTTTTTTTTTTTATGATACAAATATGGTACTAATACCTAAACTGGGAAGAGTCAAAACAGAGAAAGAAAATTATAGACCAATTTCCCTTATGAATATAGAGGCAAAAATTTTAAATAAAATATTAGCAAAAAGATTATAGCAACTTATCACAAGAATAATACACTATGACCAGGTAGGATTTATACCAGGAATGCAAGGTTGGTTCAATATTAGGAAAACAAAAACAAAATCCTCAAAAGAAAATCAACTGAAAGTTCTACAGAGACTGAGGGCATTTAAAAATAAGATTTGAGGATGTCACTCACCTATTCTATAAGCTCCAACAGCTCCCTATTGCCTTGAGGAACAAATACAAGTCTTCTCTATTCAGTATTTAAAGACCTTCCCAAACTGGTTCCAACCTACCTTTCCAGACGTATTATACATTATTGCATTTTTCAATTCCCTCTACCCGCCCCCCCCCAATCCCCGACCACCTAAGCTGGTTATTCCTCATAGCAAGGTAAGAAGGTAAGATTATTCTGCATTAGTAACCTCAGGGACATTTCTACCCAGAATGTCTACTGTGCATAGCACAGAGCACTTAGACCACCAACATGTTCTATTCCATTTCCCCTCATTCTCTATTGCTGCACAATTGACAAAGCTTTCTTTTTGTGATCAGCTCCTCTGAGGTGCAGTTTTGGGAGGTGTAGAAAGTTCCATATTGTTTGTTGGTTTTTTCTCAGTCCCACGTACCTGTTGTATCTGTGCAGCAGTATTTCCCTTGGCCCCATCTAAGACCATAGCCAAGGCACAGTAGAGGCTCAGAGGAGAATAAAACACATTCTGTGAGGCATCTTCTTCACTAATTTTTTTAAAAACATTCAAGGTAAAGGTGTTGGTTGCTTCAGAGAGAGCAGCCATCATAGCATGCCTAGAATAAGAAGACAAAGAAATATACCACATGAATATGAGACACTTCTGTGTGCATTTATCCACTCCACTTTGAATCTAGATCATCTCCAATGGTCCCTCTTCAATAACAATATAGAGTGCATTTACATAGTGCTTTCATGTCTGCAAGGTGTTATTATTATCTTAATTTTACAGACAAGGAAACTGAGGCAAAAAGAGGTGAACTGACTTTCCCAGGGTCACACAGCTAGTAAGGATCTAAGACTGGATTTAAACTCAGGTTTTCCTGACTCCAAGTCCAGCACTCTATCTACTGCATCACCTAGCTGCCTCCCTAAATGAACAAAATAATAAACGATGGCACTGAAGAGAAGCAGATTAAACTCAGCTTGGCTGATTATTATTATCATTATAACTCATATCTAGAAAGGGCATTGATGTTCACAACAGACGTTCCTATCAATTTCTTGCTCCCCAAATGGAAATATGACTAATGAATAAGATTTCTTTCTGGTCTCCTACACAAGCCATCTGCTTCCCTGTTTCCATGTATGTGCTCCTGATGTTTGGACCTGTTGCCTAGAATGCCCTTCATGCCACCTACATGTATACTACCTTTCTGTCAAAGCTCATTTCAAATGCCATCTTTACCACAAAGCTTCACCAATCACCTTAGACAACAATGGTCTCTACATGAGTTCCTACAACAATTACCTGCAACAATAGCCTGGATCAGTCATCTAGCACTTATGCCAGAATCGTTTGTCCAGTCATTACTTGTGTATGTATGGTTTATCTAAGACACCTCCCTGAAAGGCAAAGACTGTTTCTTGTCTGGACAGGTAACCCTTCCCTGTTAGCCCAATCTATCTCCCTCACCCTGATTTCATGGCAATGATTCCCTAAGGAATTAAACCACCTGTTCCCTTGAATGTTTGTTATTACCAGCTTCTCAATCCTAATCTTAAATAACTATAACTACCCAGTTACTGAATTCCTGCTTCCTAGTTGCTGAGAAAGTGCTGGATAAAGTTAAAAATTATGCTAATTTCATCCTGAAAAAAAGGATCTCTGATTTCCTCAGGAAGGTGAACTCCTTCCTTAGTTGATAAGTTCTATGATGTTGCCTGAACCACATAGAGGTTAAGTGATTCAGTCAGTCAGTCAACAAACACTTATGAAGTGTCTACAACAAGCCAGGCATTGTACTAAGTGTTGGGGATGCAAAAAGAGGCAAAAGATAGTCCCTGACCTCAAAGAGCATACAATTCAATAGAGGGAGACAAGCAATATACAGGATAAAGAGGAAGTAAATCAGAGAGGGCAGGCACTCCCTCCTTTGGATACTCTCCAGCTATCAGTGTTCTTTTTGAGCCATGGAACTGAACCCAATATTCTAGATGAAGTCTGACAAAGGCCTGAAGGCACTAGAATTAAGAGGGGTTGAGAAGGGCTTCCTGTAGAAGATGGACTTAAAGGAAGTCAAGGAAGCCAATAGATGAGGTTGAGGTGGGAAAGCATTCCAAGCACTGAGGACAGACTGAACTGTCTCTACTCCATACTAAGGCTAACCCTTCCAACTATGCCCTTAACCCACCCTCTCCTGCCTCCTCTAAGGCTTTGCTCTATCAATCATTCCCTCTCTTACATGCATTTTCAAAATCTATTTCTCCCCTAGATCCTTTCTTTCTACCTGCTAATACACTTGGTTCTCCCCAATCTGAAACACACAAAACAACAACATCCTAGAAATCTTTCTTTAACCTTCTACCTCTCAAATTACTCTCATCTCTATCCTCTCTTTCAATGGTGAGCATCTTGAAAAAGACAGAATACTGAATATCACTACTTCCTCATCACCAACTCACTTCTCAACTGTCTAAAAGTTGAACTAAATTTTCTCTAGTCTCCTGAAACTGCTTCCCAATTTTCAGTTTCCATCCTCGACCTCGTTGTAGTGTGACACAGCTATTCCCTTCTTTTCCACACTGTCTCTTTGCCTGGATTTCATGACATCTACTTCTTTCTTCCTTCTATATCCTCTTCCTTACTCCACAATCATTCCCCAAGATCCTTTCCTATTCTTTTCAGTCTCTCCAAGCTCTCTCTATGCTTTCTCCATTCTCATTCTCTTTCTCTCTCAGCAGTTTTATCCCTTTCAGAGCTTCAACCCTCACCTCTATAAAGATGACTCAAAGCCCCTGTGAGTCTGCTTTTCACAAGGCCCAGCAGAAGGAATCAAAGGTCTGTCAGAACAGCCGATGGGAGACCAGAGCTGAAAGGCTATAGATTAAAACGTCAGTAACATAGTCCAGTTCTTCCTTAGCACTGACCAAGAAAGGCTGAAATGGAGCAAAGTTCCAAACAGGAAAGTGAGAGAAATCTGGCTGGGTCACAAGCCAGGATTCCGTGGAACCAGTTTATAGAACCAAAGTGGGAAAAAATAAGATCATTAACTAGAGAGAGAGAGTAGAGTCAAAACCGAGAGGGAATTAGGTTAACACAAATAGAGTGTTGAGATAGTCAATAAATATTTAAGTGCCTACTATATCCAGAGATGGAGGAAAGGGAGGGTGCCTGGTGCAGGAAATTCTCAGTTGTTTCCTCTGGGCCCTTCTTAAATATAGGATCTGGGAGGAACCTTCCCATGTCCGCCTGAAATTGTCCAGAAATGCCCACCCTTTCCAACAGGAAATAAGGGAAAGGTAAAGAATTTATATTTTATATATAAAATAGTTTTATATTTTATATATAAATTATATATATTTTATAAAGGACCTACTATGTGCCAGGCACTGTGCTAAGTGCTTCACAAATATCTCCCATGATCCTCACAACTACGCCACAAGCTATGAGCTGTTATCATCCCCATTTTACAGTTGAGGAAATTGAGATAAAGTGATTTTGCTGAATGTCACACAGTGTCTGAGTTCAAATTTGAAGTCAAGTCTTTCTGATTCCAAACCCAGCACTCTATCTGCCACACCACCTAACTGCCTCAAACGTCAGCCAGAGGCAGGCAGGGGACCAGAAGGCAGAGGGTACTGGAGAAATATGAGTTTCAGAGTTGATTTGATCTTGCAGAAAGGTGAGTTTCTGAAGATCACAATAAAGTGCAGATGAGCAGCCAGTGGAAAAATGGTAGCATGGATGCCGAGACTAACAGCCCTCAGATGACAGGAGGGGAGCTCAGTAGGCTCAGCCACCTTCAAACTAGTCAGAATGAGGGTTGGGGTGCTACCATGTTCCTTTTAAAGGGCCAACACATTACTCATCCCAGGTTCCAGAGAGCTACAGTACTGAGATGAATGGTGAACATAGATTCCCAGAAAGGCTGTGTCTTCACTTAATTGCTGGCTCTTTGATAGTCCATTGTCAGAGTGCCTGTGGCTGGTTAAACAACTGGCAACTAGGTGGCACAGTGAAGATGATGGGGTGCTTGGGTGCTTGTGCTTGTACTTGGACCCCAACTTCTCCCTAGTTTCAGAAACACTGTCTCTGACAACCACTCCCCAGCCCAAGGACACTGTGCCTAGCAGTGACTCATGCCTGGGCCCCAGCATGACCCTTATCTCTCTCCCTGGTGCAGCTACACAAAACTGGATGAGAAAGTGCTGGGCTGCTCAGGCCCCAGCCCTGAGATCATGTCTCTCTGGAAGCCTCCCAATTCCTTAGTAAGTTCCTGTCTTGTGAGAAAGATTTCCCTTGTTGCAGAGCATTCTCTCATCAAGACAGAGGGAGAGGGGTGCCTTGCCCAGGCCAAGGAGTTTTGTCCTTGGCCAGCCCAAGGACTCTTCCTCCTGCCAGACTCCAAAGATCCATACCTCTGTCATCCCCCTCCCTGTCTGGTATACTACCTGTACTTTCCCATCCATAGCCCCCAAATACACATGGAACTTTAGATTACCTCATCAGTGTCCCTGGCATTCTTTACCCATGCCTTTTTCCATATAAACCCTAGCTCCATCCTCAGTCTCTCACAGGTTCCTTAAGAATCCTGGCCTGCTGAAAAGCATTAACAATAAATCTTTGCTACCTTGACTTGAAGAATGCTTGAGTCTGTGAATTCATTCCAGATCACTGGGCCTGAACTCTGGTCTTTGAGGGGTCTCAATCTCTCAGACCACAGAGAGCAATGGACCTGGGATCTGGAGGAACTGATCTCAAATCCTGCCTCAGACACTCACTAGCTAGGTGACTCTCACTAGCTAGGTTAACCTCTGTTGGCATCACTTTTTTCATCTGTAAAATGGGGATAATTATAGCAGTTACCACACAGGGTAGGATCACATTAGATATTTTTGTAAAGTGCTTTACAAACCTTTGAGTGCTATGTATATATTACTTATTGTTATTGTTGTTGTTGATGTTGCCACCACTTTTTCTAATCCCTGCCACTTCTTTTGTCTGTTTGTCTTCTTTCTTAATTTTATTTTCTCTCTCTTCTAACTCCTGTAGATCTTCCCATATTCCCTGGCATTAGGCAAGAGGGAGGAAGGAGAGAGACAGAGGCAAGCCTCTCATAGGAATCAGATGATCCAGGTACAGCTTTCTTTCCACCATGGTAATCCAACCAATTATACTCAATAACAACAAAAGCTTGCATTTGGATAGCACCCTATGATTTGCAAGTCATTTTACATTATCTGATTTATCCTCACCACAAACTAATGATGTTTGTTAGTGCTATCAGCCTCACTTTACAAAGGAGGGTACCGAGGCTTGGGGAGTGGAATTCCTTTGCTAAGGATCACACAGCTGATGTGTGTCTGAAGCAGGATTGAGCCCAGATCCACATCCAGCACTGTAACAGCAGTGAGACGAACACATCTGGGCCACCAGCCAGCACTCGGAAGCTCCAGGTCTCTGGGCCCTGGGCTCTGGAGGCTGGCTGACCACCTGTCAGTGGTGCTGTAAGGAGGACCCTTGTTTGGCCTCTGGTGTCCTCTTCCAAGCCTGGGATTCTCTGATTCTTCCTGACAGTCTACTCTCCAGGCTGGGAGGTCTGCACCTGCTGGG